AAATTTTTGTTGATTATTATTTGGGCCAAAAAGTTTGACGTCCGAAATAAGTGCTGATCTCTGCTTTTTTGGGAATGCAATTTGCGATTTTTTAAGGCTTAAGTTCAGGGGGCTGTTTTTCTGACGAGTTTAAATAGTTTTTATAATGGATTTTGCTAGTAAGCTGTTGTAAAGTTTTTTAAATTTAAATTTTAAATTTTTTGCTTTTAAGATTTTTAAATGGAATTTATTTTGATTTTCCATTAAAATTATGGAAACTGGAAGGGAGGTTTTGCGAGGTTTTTCTATATTTTTTATATTTTTAGGGGGTTTTAAAATTCGTTTTTAATTTGCTTGCCCAAAAAAAAGGGCCTCTCATAAAATGTTAGAAAGGCCTATCAAAGGCGGCGTCTTTAATCAAGTTGCTCGAATGTCAGCGGAGGGCCAGGCAGTAAGAAGGGAAGGAGCAGCATCACCCAGCAGCGCACCTCCCCTTCCCTCCCCCTGTCATGCCATCACTTTTGTTATCCTGGCAATTGACAACTTAACGATGCCTTGGCTGCTCGGCTCCCTGAATGGCATGCTCAAAACATTATCACGCACAGCGGGACAAGTCGTTGGATTCCAGGATATTGGAATGGGCACAAAGGCACGTGAAGAGGTGGAGGGAGGGGTGGAGAGTTCATGTGTGTTGAAAAAAAAGAAGAAGAAAATGGCCATAAAAATGCAAAAAGACAAAGGACAAAGGACATGTGATTGCTGAAGGCGCCGCCCGTGCTCCTCCTCCTTGTGTGTTTAATAAAAAAATTATGAACTTCAATTACGCAGAGGCGGAGGAGGATGACACGGCCGGCGCTGGTGGCGGCGATAGGCGAGAGTTTGAGGCGCCGCAGCGAGTGCATAAAACGCTGAACAAATAACAGCAGTCAGGATAAGGAAGGGAGGAGGAGGAGAGGTGGTGGACAGGGGGAGTGGGGCATGAGTGTGTGTGTGTGTGCAAGTGTTTGTGTTTGCATAACATAATTCTTTCTGGCAAAGTTGTAAAAACCCAAAACGAGGACGTGTCATGTGAAGCCGGCCAGGCAGGCAGGGAGGCAGGAAGGAATGGGCCAGGGCCCTCTTAACATTTTACCTAAGTAAGCTGAGCCTGTGCCAAATAATATAAACTAGATGTGTCAGGGGGGAGGAATGGTTAGGCACTTGAAGATACCCTCTAAAGAAGAGGAAGTGAGTTATAGGATAAGGAAAGATGGAGTAGTAATGGGTACATTTTGAATTTAAAAAATCATCTTTAGGATGAAAACTAATCACCCTTAAAGGTAGTTAAAGAACAAATTCTTAAGGAAAACGAATTTATAGACATTTTAAAGGGTACCAGGAAGTCCTTCTTATCACTGGTGGTGTTGGCTTATCTGTGTTGTTTGAGGGCGCGAGTAGGCCAAGAAGGGTGCTGCGAGTGGTGTAAGTGTGACTGTACGTGCATGTGAATGGCGGCCATAAATCAGCTGACGACAACCAAGGGCAGCCCAGGATCAGAGGTAGTAGGAGAATGAGTAGGATGGTGAAAGGAAGGGGGGGAGGGGGGTGGTGTGTCACCCCAAAGGACGACAGACTGAGGGTTCGCCTTTAATTGGCTTGCAGCCACCAAAGGCCTTGAGGAGGCCAGGTTAGGTTCTCCCTACACAACCACCCATCTACCAGAAACACCCATAACCACCCCCTCATGCTCATCAGCATAATCGTCGGTGTAATCGTCGCGCAAAAGCGCTTGTTCTCTCTCGTATCTCGTACCTACCTTGCCTACCAAATAGAGAAAAGTGTCCCAGAGATCGGGGATGCCAAAAATGGCACTTAACACTTAGCAAATGTCGCCGCCAGCCAGCCAGCCAGCCAGCCAGCCAGCCATTTTGCCCAGCCACACTTCCCTGCCCTTCGTTACGTTTCGTTTCCGTTTCCGTTGTCGTTTTCCTGGTGTTTCCTTGTTGCTTATTTTTTGGATTTTTAGTTTTCAATTTGATTCTTAGATTAAAATGTGGGAATGTTTGTTTTAGTTTTGGTTTTTAGTTTAAGTTTTTGAAAGAAATCAAAGAAAGCCAACGAGAAAAGCCATGATTAGCCTCCTAGTCCTGGGTTCACACTATCGAGTCTTTAATTAGAAGCTCAAATAAGCATTTAATTATAATTTTAAAAACAAATTACAGATAAAACACATTGAAATATTAAATATATTTAAATTGCTTTACAAATTGTTATCATTAAAGTATTTTTTTTTCTTTATAACAATTTTGTTGACAGCAAAAAAAAGCGATAAAAAATCTTCGATAATGTTAATTAAACTGTCATTGTAAATATTTTCGCCTGTCTAGTTTGCATAATTTCACGAGCATAAATTTGTTTAAGTTACGGCTGAAATATTACACAAATTTTCAAGAAATTTAAAGAGGGTTTCGCCCATCGGTTTTTCGATTTTTCCCTGCTATTTAGTCATCCAAAAAAGCAAACCGACTTTTCCGTCTGCCTTCTTGTCCTTTGAAATTTCTTTATTTGTGAACGCGCATTGCCATTTCACCCTTTTCTTCTTTCGCCTTGTGAGGGTGAAATGCATGCCTCGAGTCAAGCTAATCTGCTGACAGGTAGTGCGCACAGTCATGTCTGTTGCAAGTTGCAGGCTGCACATTGCACATTGCTGGTTGCAGGTGTCTGGTTTCAGGTTTCAGGTTTCAGGTTTGCTGATTTCTGTCTGCTGGCTGGTGGCAGCACATTGCAAGTGGCATTTGGGAAAGAGGAGAGGAGGTACGCTTGCTGCTCGCCCGCCCCACTGTATATTTGTTCATGGGAAAGTATGTCCCCGTCCTCCTTCGCCTTCTTTCCTTCTTCGTGAAAACTGTGAAACTTATCTGGCCTGGCCAAAGGCACTCTCTGGTCCGTGCCGTGCGCCTCATGGGCCTCAATTTGCTACTTCGGGGCAGTTATCGGAGACACCAGTGTGTTCCCAGCAGCAGCGATCCCCCCAATCAAGTACCACCACCCAACCATTTTCCATTGCCAAGAGAAGAATATTCGTGGCCAAGGAAGGAAAGCGGTGCGGAGGGAGGAAGGGAGGTACAGCATGTTACATAAACTGCTTACAGAACAACAAACAAGCAAGCTCCTCCTGGCCATATAATATGGGCGTTTATCATTTAATTAATTGCCTTTCGGAGCCATTTTCATTAAGTAATTTTCGCCTTTCGCTGTTGTTTGCTTTTCCTCGTTTTTCTGGGTTTTTTTTTTTTTGTATTTCTTCCTTTCTTTGTTGCACTTCCCTTGAAGGGAAAAGCTGCGGGAAAATTCCTGAAAGAGAGGAGTGGGGAGGAGTAGGAAGAGCAACAGCTGTGGAGCCAGCTTGTAAATGTAGTTGTGGAGGAAAGCTGCACGGAGAGAAATAAGGGGTGGGTTTGTGGGTTTATTTTAAAGGGAAAATCAATGATTTGGAGGTGAAATTTGCTTTGAGTTTGATTTTAAGATTTTATTTGAATTTTTTAAGAGCAAAAATTACTACAAATTGGCCAACAAATGTTATGCAAATATTTTTTTATTTTTTATTAATTAATTAATTAATTTAAAAACTTAATGATTAGGCATCTCTAAGCTAAAAAATGTTTAAATTTTAAGCAGGTTAAAACCTTTGCTCGTTTTTAACATTAAAACCGTTAATAAATCTTTCTCTTTTTTTCATATTAATTATAATTTATTGCCATAAATCGTTTTTACTTTGCCAAGCCCAAAGATTAAACAAACTAAAAAAATGTTTAACAATAATTTATAGAATTTTTTAAATCTAAAAAAAAAATGTGAAAAGTGTTTTTTTGAGAAATGGATATGGCATTGAGGAGGAGGAAGTGATAGCTTTTTCAGCGTGTCCATAAATGTTTTCCTTTTTTTTCTCCTTTTGTATTTAATACATATACATATGCATATGTATGTGTTGGTATTGGTGCTGTATGCTGTGTGTGTGTGGAAGTTGGTGGGAGTGTGTAGAATGGAGAGCCGTAGCCGGAGCCGGCTTTCGATCGGCTCCAAATTGCCACTCGTTGTAAAGTGGCAATTAACGCCACATGACGCTGTCAACAAATGGCCCTGGCTAGGCATTACACACTCCTCCCCCCCACCCCCTCCCACAAGCACTCGTATATATATACCCACCCACCTATACACTCACAAACACACTGATATGTGGGGCACTTACAACACTTGTTAAGTGCATTTTTCAATGCTTGCCCCCAGGAGCTGCTTTTGTTTTTTTTCGGAGTCGAAGTACAGCAGCAGCAGGTTTAGAGGGCCCAAAGGGGGGTTTTGGCCCGGGGCGGGGGCCTCGATTGTACTAATTTTAAAATTATTACTTGAGACACGGCAGCATTTTCAGGGGAAAAACTAGAGAAAAACCTATGAAAAGGTATAAAATCCGATAACAAAGCCATTTGCCGCCCATTCTATGGTCACGCCCAGCTGTCATTTCGAGTCATTCGAAGAAGGGGTCAGGTGGGCAGGAATGGGGTAGGAGAAAAGGGGGTAGAGTGTAGAAAATAAGGGCTCTTCGTAATTTTGGACATAAGCCTGTCACGACTGTCATGTCCTCCGCCAGCAGGTCGTTATTACTATTATTATGTTAGACGAGAAAATAAAAGCCTGGTTTAGTGTTAATGGCAGCAGAGCAGAGCCAGTCAGTCGAGAAATGAGTTTTGGGATCTTTCAGAAAGATGAATTGGATGAAGATTTTTATAATATTTAATGATTTAAAAGCAAAATGTTAATAAGTTAACGACGACTAAAGAAATGAGAATATTTGCCTAATGAACTTAATCAAGAACTTTGATTCGAGAGTGAAAATTAAATTTATAGTTGGAAATTCCTCGTAAATTCTCACCCTCAGTGCTAGGGCTCTGCTTCTTAGCTTTCTTTCTCCCTTTTAACCCCCTTTTAAGTTTTCATACTCTTTAAGCCCCCAACTAACTGTTGTTTTTCTTGGCTCATAATTGCAGGCTACACGAACGGCGCCTCGAAGCGCTTCTTCACAGACTTCCTGCAGGATTTGCCGACGCCAGGAACTGGTGGACCGACCTTCGACACAACCATCGGAACGAATATAACGGGACTCGTTGGCAAGACGGTGAAGCTGACCTGCCGCGTCAAGAATTTGGGCAATCGCACGGTGAGTACGCACTAAAATGGATGTTGATCAGGCAGTGGGCTGGGCGGTGGCAGGATGCAGCAAGTGGAAGCTGTGCATAATAATTTTAAAGTACTTGACCAAAAAAGGAAAATGAGAATAAGATGGGGGAGGGGGGAAAAAAGGGGAGGGCGGAAAAAAGTAAAAGTTTCGTAGGGCCAAAACTTGTCAAAAGGCGTTACGCTTGACAGGGCGGCGAGTGCTGCTGCTCCTGCTCCTGCTGCTGCTGCTGTTGTAGTGGCAGTTGCAGCTGCAACATGCCACGCCTGCATCCGCCTTCAGCTGCCTCCTCTTATTTTAAGAAGGCGTGGCTAAAGGCAGCTGTCGCCTGTCGTTTTTGGTTTGGATTTTAGCCGGGCCCCTCTGGTGGTTGTGTGCTGGCTGGCTGGCTGGCTGGTAGGATTCTCAGTGGAAAAGTTGTAAGCTACCCCCGCTTTTCATTATGAAAATGCAGCTGGAAAATGCATTTGCAGTTGCAGTTGCCGTTGCCGTTGCCGTTGCCGTTGCCGTTGCAGCTGTTAAACAATTAGCAAATTAAACTTTCAACTTTCAACTCTGGCAGTAGCCAGTCGGCTAGCGAAATCAGAAAACAATGCCAACGAGAAGCGAAAAGGAAAACAAAAAGGCGAGGCGAATGTTTCTGTGTTCGGTTCAGTTGAGTTCGTTTTAGTTTAATTTAGTTTGTCGTCGTCGGTACAACGCTGCGTATGAGTGACGTGAATCGCGGACACAAATTCCAACCACTCTCAGGTCTCCCCCTCGCCCCCTCGTACCCACCGCACCCCCCACGCCTTTTAGCAAGTTTCCTCAAGTGTCGCGCGGCCATAAAACTTTCCAAATTTTTACGCTTTGCTGGCTTATTAGGTGAGTGGCGGTGGCGGCGGCGAGAGAAAGAGAGAGAGTCCTGCAAGTCCTGCAAGTTGGAGTCCACTTTTTCGCAAACCCCTCTGCTCAGGGCATCGCCTAAAAGCCCAAAAAAAATAAAAGCGAAACTTTTCGCCGCTAGCTTCCCGTTTTAATTTCAGTTTGACAAAGTGAATGAATGACTTGAAGCAGCTCAAGTTCCGTTCATAGTTTTTTTTTTTGTTTTTTGGGGTACAAAAAAGGGGTCCTCTGGCCGAGAGAGAAGGTGGTCCTCCTGGGGAATTTTTGGAAGAGGGAAGTTTGTCAAGCAGCGGTTATGGACGCGCGTCCAGCTAATTACAAGTCTCGGGGAGAAGAAGCACCAATTAAGTACAGTGCCAGCTCGATATCAATTACTCCATTCCGTTTGTTATTTATCAGACCAAACTATCGAATTACACCCGTGGGAGTTGGGAGTTTTGAGGGAAATTTAATATAGTTTATATGGGAAAAGGAAGTCTAGAAAGATCTCTCTGGGCTGGCTCTGTTTTGTTTTAGGGAAAAGTTTAAGGGTATTAAAGGAAGTGTAAGGAAAGGCCTTTGAGTTTTCTTTGCAAGAATTTAGATTTTTGTCTTTAGTTTTGGGAATTCAATCAAAGGTTTTAGTTTAGTTGGGCCTTCAACAATTTATTTTAAACTTCATTAATTATCATTTAATGGCATCTTTACTTTCATTAATAATGTTAACTTCACTTTGCAATTTCTCTTTTGGTAATCACATAACTTCAAACAGCCATAAACTGAGCCGATTAACTCGCCAGCATTATAGCCAATTACTTAGCTCATTGAACTCCAACAAGTAATTTCTGTTACCTGACTGGCATAAATCCAGACTTCATGCGAGACTTATTGTTTTCTCCACCCAAATATTCATATAATATATACCCAACTATATAGTGAATTCCCAACTTGATATATGCATTTGCCGCCGCATGGTCTACTTTCGATATACTAAGTAGTGGCAAGTGCGTTGGTCATCGAAGCTGATGAGCTGGCTAAATACTGTGTAATTAATCACCGAGAGCCCAAGCCAGCTTGCCATTTATTACGAGGCTGCTCTCCATTCTCAAGATATCAGTTGATTTTCCTCCTACCCCCCCAAACTCCCAACCTCCCAACCTCCCATCCTCCCGGATGCCTTATTAATCAGAAGATGTTGTTGGATGGTTGCTGTTGTTGTTCCATGAATTATAGAAGCATACGATGGCCGCAAGTTTAGGGATTTTCCAGGGGGACCTCTGCGAGATGAAGGTCCTTGCACATGTCTCTGTCTCTGTCTCTGTCTCACTCTTTCGCACTTAATGGCCAACAATTTTCCATGCGATTAAGCAATTTTGCATCGCGACTCTTTTTATGCAAAACAATAAATGGCGCCATAAAGTATGGAGTACATTTTTGGCCCCCAAAGCTAAAATCAATTTCATATCCCGATGGGAAAGTACCGCTTGAGGGGGATCATTATTTATGCAGCCAGGGAGAGGAGTTTGCTGTTGGTTTCAAAATATAATTTATTAAGTTATTAGTCGGGAATCTAGAGGATATATATATCTATTTATGATCTGTAACTGAAGCTTTCTTCGATAGATTTTCCATAGGTTTCTCACTAACTTGAAGTGATTTTCCTTAGTAAAAATCTCAACTAGGCCAATTCCGGAGAGATTTCGAATTAGAGGAATGTCAGGGCAGGGCAGGGCAATCAGGCGACATTAAAATTTCCCTTTGCAATTCATTAGCAAACGCGATTTGGCGGCAGCCGAGTGTTTATTAACAAAGCCTCCACTTAACTTTGCTCGGGTGGTTTTTGATGGGTGGCGGTGGCTGGAAAGTTGGTTGGTGGGTTGGTTTATGTCTTGGTTTTGTGGGGTAAAAGGCTGTGGGTGGTAGAGTGGGTAATGGGTAGTGGGTAGGGGATGGTAGGTGATGACTGAAGGAGCATGTCATTTGCGGTCTTTGAAAGGCGACGACCGCAAGTCAAGGCTCCTTCGACACCGCAGAATGCCAATGGCTGCAGATTGGTGGGAATCTGATGTGAGGAGGGAGGCGAGGGTGGAGGGTACATGAATGGGTGCTCCAAATTCTCATTGCATGTAGTTCATTAGTGTGTAATTGTGAGGGTGTCTCTGTATGTGTGTGTGTTGTGTGTGTGTGCATATATATGTAGTATAAATGTATGGGTGAGTGGAATGCGCATCGATTTGCATCAATTGAATTGTCAATGCCCTGAGCAATGACCGCAGCCACAGAAGGAACAACGACAACGACAACGACAACGACGACATCGACATCGACATCGACATCGTGACCTGACCATGATGACTGAGAGGGAGAGAGAGAGAGAGGAGTCCGTCCAGATCCCTCCCTGGTACAGTGGCCAGAAACCACAACACATTCTCAATCTCAAGCCTTTGAAAAATATTGATTTTGTCTTTAGTTTAGGTTTGAGTTTGGTTTTTTCAAGGATGCTTTAAGAGCTTGTTTGTTTTAAGGAAAGCTACTTGGCTTGAATATTAAATTGAGTGAGTTTTAAGATGAGTTGGTTAAGGAAGTGGATTTTTGGGAAATTATAAGGGAAATATTTGATAGGAATTAGGAATTAGGAAATTAGTACAGACATAAACCCAAAAGTTACTTTACTACAAATAGTTCCTATGAAAAGGCGAATTTTTAAAGCCTAAAATGGATTATCTTTTCATAAACGCCATTAAACCTTCTTTATGCCTCACTTGGCCAGCTGAAAGAGAAGAAACTCCAAAGGAGATGGACCACTGTATGAAAAAGGGGAATTGCCTTTTCTTTTTGTTTTGGTGGTGGCGGTGGCGGTGGCGGTGGCGGTGGCGGTGGCGGTGGCGGTGGCTGGTCAGACCTCTGGACCCCGGACCCCCTTTCATTTCTCAGCAACTGCAATTGAAATTGTTGCGGTTGATTTTACAAGTAAATTGTCACTGCCAGTTGTAACCAAAACCTTCACCCTCCAACCTCTATCCATCCAACACCCCCCGTGGATGCAGCAGAGAGCCTTTTGCCCCCGAAAACAATTGAAAATGCAATTTAGCGTGTGAGGTTTCGCTGTGCCCCTGCCTCTGCCCCTGCCTCTGGCTCAACTTCTACCTGGTCCTTTTCCGTTTCGTTTCCGCTGTTCCATGAGGCATCCTTGCATCCTCTTTTTTTTCGCTGGCCATATCCAATCTTTGGCCTTTTGTTTTCCAAATGGACACCGCACTGGGTCCATCACCTGTGCCCTGCAGTTTTCCCCTTTCTCTTCACCTTTTTTTCTCGCTTTTCACCGGTTTTCCTCTCACTGCCATTGCGATTTCGATGCGTTTTCGTTTCCCTTTCACAGCCATGGCCAAAAAAAAGAAGAGAAATGAATGATCTGCAGGCACGGCAAGAAATGTCCTTTTAAAGGGATATTTTTGTGTGATTTTTTTGGTGAAATTTAGAAAGTAGAAATAAAATGGAAAAAAAGCTAAGAAAAATCCTTTTAAGCCAACTTAAACTTTTTGTCTTAACAAAACAAATTCATAAAAGTCAATATTTAACTGAATTTCTTGCAAAGAATTCTTCAAAATTCTTTCAAATTCCTCGAAATTCTTGAAAGAATTTAAAAAAAAAAAGCTAACAGCTATTTTTTCGGTGAAAAAGTTTTCTTCTCCTTTTTTCGGCGAAAGTCAAAGCCTTTCTCCACGCACAGAAATAAATTTTAAAAAAATTGTGCTTCTTCTTTTTGTTGTTTCTTTAAGCCATATGTGTCTGTGTGTGTGTATGACTGCCACGCCCACTCACTTTTGGCCTGCTTTGACTGGCTGTCTGTTTGTTTGCTTGTCGGCTTGTTCAACGGTACAGGACCGAAAGCAACAACAGTTTGGTAACAGAAATGAAGAAGAACTTTCGGGAAAAGGAAGAAGAAGTGGAAGTGAAAAAAGTTGAAGAATGTCAACCGAATGACCCCACTTTTCACTTGCCACACCCCCCGCCCGCCTTCGCTTTGAGCCAAAAAGGGAATTCGTAGTGCATTCATCAAATTAGTTTTAATACTCAGTCCGGAGAAAGTCTCGGAGACTCATTAAAAAATCACTTTT